CTCTTCTTGGAAACGTTAAACGCGTGAATTTCAGCCACATTAAAACCGTACTTCAGAAAACGTTGTAATTTTAACCACAGTAGTTAGAGCCTTTTCCTGGGAAACGTTAATTTCGTACCAGTTAATGGAAAGAGTTGCTAACAAATACTTAATTTTAACTAACAAGGCCCAATTTGAACGCTAAGTGGCAGAACAATTGCGTGGCGATTTAATAATGTTTTCAGAAGTGGCTAAATATATAGTAGGCAGTTACAGTTTTTAAATAATACAGACAAGTTTTTACTCTAAAAAAAAAATTTTGAGCCTTTCTTTAAATGTCATGACATTTAATTTGTAAAATGTAGGTTTTATAAATTTTATTTGATTGTCATTTTTTTCTGCACCAAAAATTTCCTATTGTATATTTAGATTTCTCTTATTTGGTATTCAGACAAGCAAAAATTATTATGAGAAATGGTTTTTTAGAAAATCATAAATAAAAATGTTTGCTGTACATTTACTGGAAACTTGTTCGTAGTTTTATCTTCGTAAACTGATTTTTTTTTTAATCTACCTGAAATTGTCAGAGCACACTTTAGATTTGTCAATTTTGTAACGAGCGTTCAAATAAAAACGTGGTCGAAGTTGGCTCTGACACATTGGACGTAGGGAGTAGCTTATAGCGACCAACTTAACCTCATTTCTCAACGAGCTGTATAGCAGCTGTCAGTTTCAATAACGTTAATGACTATATAACTTTATTTTAAAGAATAATCGTGATAACAATAACAAACAATTAAAGGAGCTGCGGAAAGTGTCCCCCTCCTTGTTATAACAATAAATTAAAGCAGCTGCTGAAAGTGTCCCCCTCCTTGTTCCAAGCACTTTTCACACCTGTTCCTCAAAGAATTAAAGACATTTTCTAAGATGCTCGGGGTATTGTTAATTTCACGAATCTTGTCTATAAGTCGAGCCTGCAGATGGTTTAAATCAGGAATAGGCAGTTCAAAAATAGTGTTTTTAAGGTAAGGCCACAAAAAGAAATCACACGGCGTAATATCACATGACCTCGGTGGAAATTCATGTTCAGCATTGAGACTTATTAGTCGATTTTGGAAAACTTCCCTCAACATATTCATCGTCTCGCCTGCCGTATGTGCCCTTGCGCCATCTTGTTGAAAGTAAAAGTTTGTAATTTCGTTTTCTTCCAGCTGGTTAACAAAAGGAGCGATAATTTCTTCTCTATACCTTTGCGCAGTAAGAGTACCATTAAAAAAAATAGGTCCATAAATCCTCCTTCGATTGAGAGCACACCAAACTCCAATTTTTTGAGCGTGTAGAGGGCCCTCGACAAAAAAGTTATCTGGTTTTTCAGAAGACCACATTCTCATATTCTGTGAGTTTACGTAACCACTTAAATGAAACCAGGCTTCATCAGAAAAAAAGGTGATATTATGAAGTTCACCGTAGTTGTTTAAAAACCATTCACAAAATACAGCCCGTCGCGGAAAATCAACTTCATGAAGTTCTTGCTGACAAGTTAAACGATAGGAGAACAAACGCAAATCTTTTTTTAACACTGTGTGGCAGGTACCGACTGATACTCCCACCATTTGTGATAAAACACGTACAGAAGTTCTTGGCGCATTTTCCATTATTTGTTGGACATTTTCTTTTAATTCTTCAGTCCGCTTTTTAGGTCGGCCGCTTCCTTCTTTTCTTGTTACACTGCCCGTTTCACGAAAAACATTAACACAACGCTGAACTGCACTTTGAAAAATTTTGTACTCAACAACGCCGGGAAATTGATTTTGAAATTCTATGAAACATTCCTCAATAGAATACTTCCATATTCCATCAATCTTGCGTCCATTTCTAAAGTAGGACTCTATGATAAACACTTTTTGTTCTTGAGAAAACACCATTTTAAACGCTTTTTAAAACGAAAATATTCAAATTGATAGCGGCGATATAGCGCTTTGACAGATGACGTTTAAGTTCATTTGCTATACGCTACGCCCTACGTCCAAATTTTCAGAACCAACTTGACCACGTTTTTATTTGAACGCTCGTTATAATTCAGAGCTCTGTGTAAGAGCTCTAATATCATTTTCAGGTATATGAATGACGTGTGACCTAGTCGTATATTTTTGGTGATGATTTTCTTGAAAATATTTTTTCAGAATTTCTCTACATGATGGATACCGATAATGGGCCACTATCAAGCTTGAATTATATGTAGGTATACCAATTTTAAAATATTTATGTTTTCACATACCTATTTTAAAATATTTACGTTTTCGCAAGACCATAACATAACTAATAGTAACTATAAATCAAAAATTGATGACTTAGTAGCTTAGGCACAGCACCTCTGGCTGCAGTCCTATTTCAAAACACGTGTTTTATTACTTATTACCCTACTTTAGCGCGTATACATTATGTATCATGTCGTATAAAAGGTTTTCATGGGAGGTTTCATTAAATTTACGGCGCGAGTTCTCTCGAGTCGTTTCCATACACTTCCGAGAGCGATAGAAAATGGATACCGACATTCCAATGCAAATCAGGAAAGTCGAAATAAAAACGAACAAATTATTAAGCTGTTTGAATGTGTTTAAAAGTAGGTAGGATCCTTATTTACATACTACATTTATATTTTTCACGGTGCAACATTTTATGTTGCTCCGCCAGGCATTTTATTGAATTGTATCATATTTTACGAGTGAAATGAGTGCTGGTGCATTTCATGGAATATCTTTCATTTTATTATATTCCTCGTCAAATAAGATGGATAACAGGAGAACTGATGATATCAGTAGTTCATATTGACGATTATTTCATCATACATCAGCACTCAATTGTAGTGAAAATTTATATTATGTCAATAAAACAAGTAAAATCTTACTAATTGGTGTCGTGGTTATTGTGCATCGAACTGTCACATATGCGATAAGAGTTTTTATTCGGTTCTTTTTGAAGTGCAACGTTGTGGTGCTACTGAAGTTGGTCAAATTGACGGAAGAAATTGAAAATGCGATTCCGAGAAATACGAAGAAGACGCGTAAAAAAGTATGCCTTCAATGGAACAAAATCTATGGAATATCTTCCAAACATTATGAAAGATTACGCGATGCAAAACGGACATTTTTACAAAATTATCGCAAAAAGCAAAAGAAAAGTTCCAAAGCAGTAGTGAAGTAGGTATACCAAATTATAATAATGTGTTAAGGTGATAATGGAACAGCAAGAATAGGAAATATTTTTTGAATGATTGCATTATTTAACATTTTCAATATATCAGATATCTGTTTTTGTATTATATGCCATATTTAGTTTCTACTTTGAAGATTGTTTCAACTCTTACTATCATTCAAGGTGTCAGAGTGGTCTGCTTGAAACTATCATTTCGCAAGTTATGAGAAAGGCAGTTACATCTCAGTTAGCATTGTGAAGTTGCATATATTTATTGTGGCACATTTAATTATTTTTAGTTTAATTTGCTTATGAAGGAAGATTGTTGCTTTCATGGTTTGGGCCCAAAATTTGCTACTCAACAATTCAAAAATTTACAGAAGAATTATATAACTCGAGTTTAACTATTTCTAATAGCTGTTTTACATTGACAATTTATTCATCAATCAATTGACGAAATTCTTCATTAATTAATTCACGAATTTATTGGTAAACAGTGTGGTTTTACACTGCTACAGACTTTGTCAAGTTTTTTGACGTATGAATCAGTTCTACTAATGAATCAAAGAAGCAAATAAATTTCAAAAATGTCACCTTTTATAATTGTAGTGATACAACAGCGGTACTGTTTTGACACATATTATATAAATATTAGTGTTTATAAGTAACAAATCATTAAAAACAATGCAAAACTAGTACGACGCCACACAATTATTTTCATACTCCAATAGCATAACCTCATTCCTGATCTGAGGCTGGAAATCTGTTGGGTTGGTAATTCTGAACTTCACGAAGAAATTGACGAAAATTAGAACATGCTCTAATTCGTCAAGAACTTGATGAATAAATTCATAAAGTTATTTGACAGCAGACTTGATGCATTACACTTGTCTAATTGATCAATAAATTGTCAATGTAAAACAGATATAAGACCATCAGTTTTCTTTTGAAGAGAGGAAAATTACATACGTCATAACTAAAAAGTTAACAAGGCTAGTGATAAGTTGTTCTGATTAGGTAGGTACTTACCAAGAAAGTTCCAATATCATTATATCTACTGGAAAAAGACTCTAAAGAGTGATTTCGAGATGTCAATTTTGGTTCTTTTTGAAAGAAAGTTAAAATGTAATTATGTTTTCATGAAACACATCTTTTGCTGTAAATTTGGACAATAAAAATTCTTAGTTTTTCACCAAACCTCATGTTCTAACAAAAATTATCTTCAAAAGTCTATGAATCTTTTTTTGGAGAAAACTATGACAACTCGGAAGACATGGCAGACAGTTTCTTTTGTTACTTACCACGTTTGACCTTGGGTTTTTTTACTTCAGTTTATTTAGTTTCGATAATTTACCAATCATTTTGCAAAAATATTTTTATCCACGACTATTGTATAATGTACCCATTATGCTTTATCCGGCAAAATACTCGGATTTATAACCTATGAAAACTAATATGATTTTTTTTTGTTTTAAATACAAATAAAATGTTTTGTTTTGATATGGAATTGGATGTGTACTTGTACCAGTTTTCGATACATGCACCTGGAGACAGAATGAGTCTCCAGTTTCATCCGCTAGTACTTCAATTCTATCTGAATAATAAACGCTTTTATGGCGGTGAAGAATTTTGGTTCTGCATCGTTTACGAACAATAAAGGTGTCCCATCTATCGAATCTCACTCATTGTTTTATTCAAGAAACATCCGAAATCTGTCCGTCGTAGATGCAGACCGATCATGAATGAACTGACAGCTCCGTAAAGGTCACTGGCTCGGCCCGCTAATGTAAATGACGCAACCTTAGAGACGGAGTCAAGAGACCAACCTGGAGTTTTTGAGTGTGCCCGCAGTGATGACAGCAGTAGGAGAAGTAGTCCGGCAAAGCTGGCATAATTTTCAAACTGTCACAACTGCCGCCCAGCTCGTCCACTAACTTTCTGTAATTCACTCTAACAGATGGAGTACTTTTGCTCAGTCTCCCCATATTCACATGCACGACGCGGTTTTGGGACGCCACCCTGAGAGGATTCACTAGGTGTTGCACACACGCATCACTGTCACAAACGCGTTTTTTCCCTTCTCTATGTGTGTTAAGGCGCGAGCGTCTGGGTTACGTGGTCGATTCGGCCAACGGTACTCGCGGTACTGAAGTGCGGCTCGGGCTTCCTCTTCCATGGCAGAGAGTAGCGCGGGTCAGGTACTTGCGGCGCGGCGAAAAAGGGTCGCACTGGCCCACTTGGTCTTTGGAATTAGCATTAAACTTAGTATACTTACTGGTTGCCCATTGTCGTATTCCAAGACAAATTTTCGCTCAACTTTCCAATCAGAATCAACAAACCGTCTTCAACGCTGGGCCAATCCCGGCCAAAATAGAAACATACTTATGCCCCAGAGGATCCATACTACCCTCTACCAGAAGTAGACGACGCGGCGCGTAAGTTAACATTTTTAACCAAGTTTCCAAAATTTCTTAAGTTCTTAAGAAGCTCCCAGCCGTCTCCAAATCGGCAGGCAACCACCACGACGCGCAACAAAGATAGAAAATTCACCTGAATTTCGAGTTTAGCAAACTGAAAAATTATCAAAATATTACGGAATTTGAATTGGGGAACCGCAAACTAGGTACCAGATCATCAGTTCCAGTCGGCGACAATCCAAAAATGGATAAAATCCGGACAGGTCAATTGTTCAAATCTGAGACGGACTTCGCTACAGGATTTCTGCGGATCCATTAAAGATTGCGATCGAACGTCGACTCTGATGCCTCACAGTACAATAACCAGGGACGGATACCTGGCTAGTACGTGTAGTAGATACGACTCAAAATTTCTAATTGCATTATAACAGTCAATTGCGAATCAAATACTCATTTATCGTAAATATAATTTTTTTTCAACAAATCCCAAATCTTTACAAATTCAGTTTTCAGTTCAACTTGAGTTAATAAAAATTTCAAAACTTTACGGAAAATAAAAACAAATCTTATATAAATATAAATATTAGATAGTTTAGTTGTTCATGATGTAAGCTTAAAAAAAGCATTTGAAAGTAATATGTAACAATTTAAAAATTCTATAAATGTACTTTTTATTACAAGTATAACGTAAAACGCAATATTTTTGCTAAACAGTACGTACTTCGGAAAGCACACGTATAACTCGTATTTTAGTTAGGCAGGTAGAATTTAACCATACAATGATCACCAAACTAAAAAAAATGTGTTGCCGAATCTGCATCTTAAGGAAGTTTATCGGGTACGGAGGTACGTCTAAAGTCTAACGAGAGTTTCTGTAGATTCACTAGTGACTAAAGTAGTAAGTCTTTAGATTTGGCAACGTTGCACTTAGCTGGCTCGTTCGCTTCGGCGTTCGTTCACTCGCGCTCGATCATTCTGTTTGCTTGAACACCTGCAAATTTCAAATAATACGCTACGTCGAGACCGCGGCGTTGCCGCTATCACGCATATGGAGGTTAAGTTAGACAATGACAGCAGTTTGAAGGAGAATTATTATAAATTATGTATCTAATCGATTTCTACGAGCTGTCATACGGTTTCTTAGATATCGGTTTCCTATTTATACAAGTTGCTGTGGAAACTATTCGTCAATTGTTGCGCATTCTATGTGGAAAGAGCAAACAAATCTGCATTCTCATAAGATCGTACTAAATCGTGAAAAATTATTTTATTAATATCGTGTCTCTTAAGTATCCAAAATAGTCATAATTTTGTTTGACGATTTTCTTCATATTACTAAGCTTATATTATTTTTTTTATGAATATTTGTTTGTCAATACCAAGTCAGATAAACCTCCTTAAGAGATTTAAAATATATATGTCACGTGACTAGGTATTGTTTTGTCAACAAAAGTAAGAAAAATTTAGAAATCTGAAAAAATTGCAAAAGTTGGGTTTTCTTAATCTAATAACACTAGCAGGAAAAAATGTTTTGAACTTAATTATAATGTTTAAAAATTCTACTGAAAGTACTTTTAATAACCACTTAATTAATATTAAAAATCTGTTATTATAATGAACATTAATTTTATTAAACATGAACTATGTTTTTTTTTCGGATTCAAAGAAATATACAGGGTGTTTTAAATTAAATGATAACTTATTATCATTTTAAACTAAAGAGAATTTTTGCAAGATTTTTGTACATTCGTAAAAGAAGAAATTAAACAGAGTCATCCATTGAATTTTATTGATATTTTACAATAATAAGTAATTAATTGATGTATTCGTAATTATGTTACTGCATCCTGCACATGTGACTATTTTTACAGCCTGTTGTTTTCAGTTGCCGTTTATTAAAGTGTCACGCAGACGTAGGCATCTAGGTTTATGTAAAGATAAAGCTTAGAGTAATTTGTCCGGTATTAAACTACACCAAGAAATATAACGCGGAAGGCCTGTGCATATCATCGTTCTCATAAAAATGTACGTAAAAATTTGTTATATCCTGTCGGATGGTCTTTGCACTGTGAATTTATTGCTTACATTACATCGCCGGTGCATTTATTTTATTATGCGGTGAAGAGATGAAAAATGGGCTCGTGGAATATTTCTGAATTAACGTTTTTTTTGGAGCTGTTTTCATTTTATGTAAAAAGCAAAAGTCTAGAGCGTAAAATAAAGTGAAATTAAGGCGTGGTGCTGTTACCGCTTTACCGAAAACAAAAATTAGTTTAAAAAAAGGCGTATCTTCATGTTTTAATGTCCCATAATGTTTCGTACAGAATACGGTTTCGGTAGGAAGTCATCATTTTATTATTTAATTTAGTTATAGCTGTTCTACATTGATAATTTATTGATGAATAAATTGACGAAGTTCTTCATGAATTAATTCACGAATTTATTGGTAAACATTGTGGTTTTACACTGCTACAGACTTTGTCAAGTTTTTTGACGTATGAACTAGTTCTATCAACTAATCAAAGAAGCAAATAAATTTCAAAAATGTCACCTTTCCAGTCATAATTGTAGTGATACAACAGCGGTACCGTTTTGACACATATTATATAAATATTAGTTTTTGTAAGTAACAAATCAGTAAAAACAATGCAAAACTAGCACGATGCCACACAATTATTTACATATTCCAATAACATAACCTCATTACTGATCTGAGGCTGGAAATCTGTTGGGTTGGTACTTCCGAACTTCATGAAGAAATTGACGAAAATTAGAACATGTTCTAATAGCTGTTTTACATTGACAATTTATTGATCAATTAATTCATGAAGTCGCTTCATCAAGAAATTGGACAAGTGTAATGCACCAAATCTGCTGTCAAATAACTTAATGAATTTATTCATCAAGTTCTTGATGAATTAGAGCATGTTCTAATTTTCGTCAATTTCTTCGTGAAGTTCAGAAGTACCAACCCAACAGATTTCCAGCCTCAGGTCAATAATGAGGTTATGTTATTGGAATATGTAAATAATTGTGTAGCGTCGTACTAGTTTTGCATTGTTTTTACTAATTTGTTACTTACAAACACTAATATTTATATAATATGTGTCAAAACGGGACCGCTGTTGTATCACTATAATTATGAGTGGAAAGGTGACATTTTTTAAATTCATTTGCTTCTTTGATTTGTTGGTAGAACCGATTCATGCGTCAAAAAACTTGACAAAGTCTGTAGCAGTGTAAAACCACACTGTTTACCAATAAATTCGTGAACTAATTCATGAAGAACTTCGTCAATTTATTGATGAATAAATTGTCAATGTAAAACAGTTATAATTCGTCAAGAACTTGATGAATAAATTCATGAAGTTATTTGACAGCTGATTTGGTGCATTACACTTGTCCAATTTCTCGATGAAGCGACTTCATGAATTAATTGATCAATAAATTGTCAATGTAAAACCTAAAACAAAGTTTTCGTTTTCGAGTTTCCTTTACGTGAATTGGCCACATATAGTAAAATATACAGGGTGTCCCACCAGGAATCGCCAATGGCACAGATACAAATTTAGAACTTTATGAAACTTCTGGTTATACCGGAAGTAAACATTAACTTTCTTATTTTTAATGAGACACCTTATATATTATTGCACTTTTGGATGCTACGTGAAATTTGAGGTTCACTTTATTATATATTACCTATACCTACCTAGAAATTATAGACTTTGAGATATTAATTTTTAAAGAAAAAATTTAACAGATGCAAGGGTCCGCGGAGATGCTAGTAACTCTTTTCAGGAGCGTGATGTCAAGTGGATGTTTATCTGTTAAGGCCATAGGTAACACCAAATTATGGTATACCAATAAATTAAAATATTTAATACTAGGTGTTTCATTTTTGCTGTTACATTTTGATAACTTCAAACAGCTATAACTTTGTTAAATGGAACACTGTATTTTTTTACTCTGTCGTATGCAGATTGAAATTTTCTTTCAGGCCATATAAGCATTGTTAGTGTTGCCATTACTACTTTTGGAAATACTTACAATTTTCTATTTCTTGGACAGTTTTTCTCGTATGAGACCTGTTATCAAATTGGCCATGACCAGAAAAACTCCAAAAGCAATTAAAATAACTCGACATTTGTCAAGTTAGTTGTCAAATTATTATGTCTGTAATACTTTTTGCTGAAAATTTAAATAAAAGTACCTGGGAATCGTTTAAATTCCACTAATGAGGATTATTATAATTTGTTTATTATTTACGGACAATGTGACAAAGTAATTTCAAGAACATGTAGAGAATGTGCTGCTTTTGAAGTTCCTGGAGAGTCAATATATTTTAAGCTTACAATGAGTATTGCAGTTCACATTGAAACACGCACATCCTAGTTGGCTTCTACGATAATTAACCTACCTTTCACTTTTCCCCCGGTCCGGTCCTGAGCTCTTCTGTCGCCAGTGGAATGTTGTCACTGGCCGCCGAAGACAGCCGAACTTCTTCTGCGTCCGCCATGATTGGTGTTCATTTCACTTAATAAATACACTCAGCTATCCACAGAACCTCCACAAAACCTTTAATGGAGCAGGTGTTTAACGACAATGCTAAGATGCGCTTTAATGTGGCGGGGTCCGCCGTCACGAGGCGATTTAACGTCGAAATTGGAGATTAATTAACGAAATAAAGATGGCAAGAAGTCACACGCCGGAC